GAAGAAATCCGGGCGGGGCCTGCGGGTTGCACCTTGCCAACCCCTTGGGTCCAGCTTTTGGGGGAGCTCTAGTGGTGTTGGCATTTTTCAAACCTTGGGTCCAGGTTTGTTGGGGAGGCTCTGATGGCTTGCTCCTAGTTTTTAACAGTTTTTCTGGGAGACTCTTGCATGTTGTTGTTTGCGTGTGTGTTTTTGGAGGGGACATGGTCTTGGGTTGCCTTTCCACATGTTTTCAACAGGGGGAGGGGGAACCCTTCAAGGCTTTCTGTACGGCACTTCGCCCTCTTGGATCGAGCAAAAGGTCCCGCGCCTTTGCATGCTAGCGGGGCAGTTGCTCCAGATCCAGGGCATCAAGGAAAGCCATCAAAAGACACCAAGGCTTTGGTTCTGGTTCTGGACCAGTGAATCATCGATTTTCCAAAGAGGAAAATTGTTGGCAAACAAGGAGGGTGCTGGACAGGTGTCCGGGCCTTTTGGTGATTTGGGAAAGAAGAGGATTGAAACCACAGACAAATGGAGAGAATCAGTGAAGCTGGAGCAGAAGTTTGTGTTTGAGCTCCTTGAGCCACATGCTTTCTTTTGCTTCCCAGGGCCATCCTCTCGGCTTTCGCCCGAGCAGGACACGATGCTGGCCCTAGTCCACCTGTCTGGCCGACACCTACAACTGGCCGACCGAATGCTCAAGTCTGACCCAGACGCCGCTTGGGCCAAAGTCAGGCCGAGTCGTGACGGTTGTTCAAGAAATGATGGCTGCGACTCGCAGCCCGCTTGCCTCCTTTGCCACCCGCGCAGCGAGCCTAAGGTTGTGCTGGCAGCCTTGCGTCAGGATGTCCTTTCGTTGCAGATGGCGGCGCAGGATTTGAACCATGGCATTTATTAGATTATGTCCATGGTGTCGAACACACTGCACGCAAGCTGTGGTCCATGATATCGAACACACTGCGCGCATCCTGCGCATCTTACAGCTGGACCTACGAGAATGTGCCTGGCTTGCGAACTTCTCAGGAAGCAGGATGAGGACTTTATGCTCTCCGCCATCACCGAGGCCAGGCAGAGGGCACATCCTGCAAACGTGCTACATTTGCGCCCCTGTAGGTTGGGGGATGCAATAGGTGTGATTTCCCGTCAATCGTCTCATGGAATGCGCACTGCTCTTGTGATCCTTACTGTCACCATTTGCCCCATCTAGGTAATGTCGGCCACATGCCAGTGGGTAGATAGCAAATGTGGCCCTGTGGCCATCGATTTGAGATGCAAGACTCTGCTGGCCGGGCACGTGTGCGACCCGCTAGAACCCCATGGCTTTCCTCTTCGCAGCGGAGAGGCTGCAACAGGAGCCGGGCTTTCTGAGCGAGAAGGCAGTTTCTCAGTTTCTCAACCAGCGGCCGTTCGTTTGCAACATTCATCCCCAGCCAAGGCTAAAGACCGTGTTTCATGCCTTCTGCCAATCGAGATTTGAAGGTTTCTGAAGGACACAAGAATTCCATGTGCGGATTCCATTTGTGGCAGCCCACTTGCCTTTCCGAACCAACAGGAAGAACTCTTGGCCGACCTCGCCCCCCAATTCGATGCAGATGTTCAAGGGTGCAGCCGCTAGGACCGGGGCTTCGTGGCCCGCGCAGCTCGGAGGAATCCCCGCGTGCTGCGCGCCTTGTAAGGAGAGGTTGGATCGGCAAGGTGGCGTTGGTGCTTTTGCTGAGCTTTGCGCTGCTGGTTTCTAAGGGATGGCTCACTTCCGGGTTTCGGACTGGATATCTCACAAAAGGAACCGCTGAATAGTACTTTCGAAGTCTGGAGGTTTGGGGGTCAAAGGGATGTGCCTTTGCGGTTTGTTGTTGGGGGGCTTTGATGATTTTCATTGGTGCTTAGTGCTAGTAGGCGACCCATATGCATCGTGTTTGCTTGGTGCTATTGCTTTTGATGGCTTGGATGGTTTCCCGGAGTAATTCACAAGGGGAGGGGCACTCGCCAGTGCGTACACAAGTGGATTGTTGAATTCAAGTGAACCAAGAAATTCCAAACCCTCGCACCACTCTGGACCTCCCCTATCCGCCGGCGCTTAACTTTGTTTGCTTGTTGCTTTGGTTGTTCGTCCATCTGTTTGTCTGTCTGTCCGTCGGGTCTGTTTGTCTGTCTGTCTGTCTGTTTGTGTCTGTCTGTGTCTGTCTGTGTCTGTCTGTGTCTGTCTGTGTCTGTCTGTGTCTGTCTGTGTCTGTCTGTGTCTGTCTGTGTCTGTCTGTGTCTGTCTGTGTCTGTCTGTCTGTCTGTCTGTCTGTCTATCTGCCTGTCTGTCTGACTGCCTGTCTGCCTGTCTACTTGTCTGTCTGTTTGTCTGCGCACAGCAGCGCAGGGCGCAATTCTGCAAAAGCTTACGTATTCCATGAGGGTCGCACTGATTTATGGGGCAATCCAGTATGGGTTAGACTTCCTGGTTCGAGCTGGTTTGGCAGACGCAAACAGCAGGGGCATGAGGCATCATGTGTCCAAGGCTATGCCGGGGAGCATCTCCAGGATCGGCTTGTGATGAGTGCGGCAACTGGCTCTTCTGGCTCCGCGATGCATTTGGCCTCGGAGGAGCTTGGTCGGTCTGTGGCTCAACAAGCATTTGACGGGTCATATGATGGCCGGACCTACATACATGAGGTTAATGGCCGTTCGCGTGCACACCACTTAGCAACATTTTAACTACTATACCCGCCTAGCTGCCTGTGATCCTGAACCAACTCCCATCACTGCCACTGAACTTGCCTGTGCGTTTCATTTTTAGGAAGGCTTTTACTGGATGCCTCCTGAGCTTGGTTTCTGATGTTCCAGGCTTGGTTCCAGTGCTGCTTGCCAACTTTGATCAGACGCCCCGTCGTTGGCACACGCATCAAAATGAAGTTAATTTAGGATTAAGGAAAACAAAATTCGGGATCATCAACAAACTATTTCAGACCATGTGAAGGAGAAGGCAGTTTGCAAGCTAGTATCCGGTGCACCCTGGAGCAAAGGGCGGTTAGTAAGTCAGCGTACGGCGGTTAGTAAGTTAGTAAGTTAGCAAGTTAAAAGGTGCGCCAGTTAGAATAAGTTACTAAGTTCGCAAGTTAGCCAGTTAGCAAGCTTGCAAGTTAGTACGCTAGCAAGTTATAAGGTGCGCAAGTTAGAATAAGTTAGTAAGTTAGCAAGTTAGCAAGTTTGTGGGTGCTCTCGTTAGTAAGTTAACAAGGTAGAGTGGAATTGAAGGAGGGGGGAGACTAAGTTAGTGTGGAGGAAAGGGCACTTAACGCGGTAGCAGTGCTATTCCTCCTACTACTGCTGCTGCTGCTGCCGCCGCTGCTGCTGCTGTTGTTGCTGCTACTACAGACATAGTACTACGACGATGACTACTGCTACTCCAACTACGACTTCTTCTACCGCTACTACTACCACTACGACTATGACTAGTCCCACTACAACTGCTGCTACTCCTTCTGCTGCTGCTTAATCCAGTACTACTCCTACGACTACAAGTACTACTGCTCGTACTGCTTTTGCTTCTGAACGTGCTGTACTGCTACTTTCTTTGCACTACTAAGATCGAGTACTCGTACTAGTGCTACTACTCCCACGACCACTACTACTACTGCTACTACTGCTACTACTGCTACTACTGCTACTACTGCTACTACTTCTACTACTGCTACTACTATCACTTCTACTACTACGGCTACTACTATTACTACTGCTACTTTTACCACTACTACTACTCCTCCTCCTCCTCCTAGTCCTACTGCTACTGCTACTGCTACTGCTGCTGCCACTGCTGCTGCTACTGCTACTGCTACTGCTACTGCTACTGCTACTGCTACTGCTACTGCTACTTCTACTACAAGTACCAGTTGAATTTTTGATCCTGAATCATGCGCAGCTTGGTTGGCAGATAAGTTCTGCGCCCTGAAGGAGGAAGGAACCCCCGCCGTCGCTATTACGAGGTCCATTTCGAGGCACTCGCAGATTTCCCAGACTGTGCGATCGTAAATTTTGACGAACTTGACCACGACTTGCCCAAATGGCCTTGTGTCAAGAAGGGCTCCGGCAAGCCATAGGGTATCAGGATGCAGCTCAAGTGCCTCTGCACTTGTCCGGCGCGCGGCCCTGACACGTAAAATGGCCCAACTCGCCCTTCCTTGCAACTCTGGGCACGACCTCAGTCTGTGCCGGGGGTGACCTCGCAAGATTTTGTACCTGCGCTGATTTTAAGCAGTGGGAGTCCTTAAGGGATCCTTCGGCCAGCTTTGCCTTCCCCATGGGATGGCACAGGTGCCTGTAATGCCCGATCTGCCGGAGGCAGATGCCCCCGGGTCCGCCTCGGAGCTTCCTTGGCCTGTTGAAGTTGCCACGCCCTGGGAGAACAAACTCATTTTTTTGTTCGTTTCGCTGACCCTCTTCCGTTGGTCCATCAATGCTCTCGGATTCCCAGGGCACGCTTACTGTGGCCACTTCGCGCCAACCAGTTAGAAGCTGTTAGGCTCGTAGCTCGACATTTTCACAGATGCGGCAAGAAAGAGGGTAGACTCGCAGCCTCGCACATGCAGTGGGCGGCTCTGTCGGCGCTCAGGTCTTTCTGGTGCCTGTTGTCGTGCCCTTGGCATTTGCATTTTTGGCGTTCTAGCAGGCAGAGAGGGATGGAGGTGCGGGGGGGGGGGGGGATGGGGCAGCAACGGAGCAAGCAGCCAGGCATGTCAGATGTCCTTGGAGGCAAGGAATTTTTCAGCCAAGGCCATTGCCCTGACAGTGATCTTCTTCATGAGCCATGCCAAGTGAGGGAAGCAAAGCGTCCGAGCATGCGCACGACACGCGAAAACAGAGAGCTGCGACTGGAAGCAACACAGGTGCACAGCTTTTGCAGGGTACTGCCTCCAGCCATCTGGCTGAATCATGGACAGCTATCAGTGCTGCATGGACATCAGGACGCATGACCAAATCAAGTTGCAGCATCCTCGGCAACCCTGGCGGTCCACAATCCTCGAAAGAGAACAGCAACATGGAAGAATAGACCAGGAGCCGCCAAAGGGCATGGCTGGGCCATCCACTCCAGCTTGCAGGCAAATGCGATGCTTGAAAGGGTCTGGAGAAGGGGAGTCTGAGCAACAGGGATGAAGCAGCAACTTGTTTTTCAAGGATCAAGGAAGTGGAGCAAGTTGAGAAAGAGCTAGATATCCTGCGGAATGCAATAAACAACATCCAAACCTAAAGAAGCACCGGTGAGGCGGAACTGCAGGCATGGCAAGCTATGGCGTTCAGGCAGGGGGCATCTAACGAGAGACGAGGCGACCTGAGAGTTCCACATTCACGGTAGCATTTGCCGCAAAGTGGTGTCTTCAGCCGCCCCGTCCCCCAGCACCCCCCGTCCCCCGCCGTTGCTTGACTTGCGCAGGCGAGAGAGCGATCCGGTCACGCCCCTGGCTGTGCGCCCGTGTGTGCCAGATAGCCAGCTGCAGACTCCGAAGTTTTCAAGTGCCATGGCCTTGAGAGCCAAGCTTGATGAAAGCTGAAGCTAGGCTCGCGGACGCGCCAGCCCAGCTGGAACCCCATTCTGAGATCAGCACCTTGTTTGCACGACATTTCTCACAAAAATACCTTGTGAAATGAAGACACAATTATATGTTATTGTCGCATATTACCGCCCGAGAGTGAAGACAATGAAGGCTCGCTTTGCAAATCAGACTGGGGACTTGCTTAGCTGAGGCCGAGCAATTTAAGTTTGGCTACGTCGGTGGGCAGGAAGCGCCTGGGAGGGCGCGTGAGCCTGCTGCAAGCAAAAAGGCCAGGCGGAAGGTTGGGTGAGAACGGGGCCGAGGGATGGGCTGCGTGCCAAACTTTGGCAACCCGCCGAGACATTTTGAAGGCCGAAATCCGTGCTCAAACGGAAACTGCACCTGCAGAGGCGAAACAAGTAGTTCACACACAGGAGCCATCGCGCTTGAGCTTCCCAAGTTTCCAATGCTTGCCAGGCTTCAGGCATTTAGGGTGTGGCTCAAAAATAAACAGGAAGCGTCACGCAGGTTTTGGTCCATGTTGCCGCTTACCAGGGTTCCATTTTGGTACCGGTTTTTTGAGCCACGGCCATTTAACCTACATGTTTTGTGGGCGCACGCTAGCTCTGCTTCGGCTCCAGGCGCCGGAGAAGCCGCCGGAGAGGCCTCTCCCGGAGAGGCCGGAGAAGCGGCCGGCGGTGCCGCGGTTCCGGCATCCGCCGCGGGCGGAGCCGTCGGCAGAGGCGAGGCGACCCGTTGGGCGGCCGGGGTGCGAGACGAGCCCACGTGTAAAGCTCCAAGAGGCCGCCCGAGCCGAGCAGATCGTTTAGAAGAAAACACGGAACGAGTCTCTTTGAACATGATGTAAGTTCGGCAAGAACAAGAAGCTTGTCGGGCTTCCAGCGGGAACTTTTAGACGGTTGATGATCTTCCTATATATTGCATCCGCACGTGCGCAGTGCATTGCCATGGCGACACTTGTTCGCTGCACTGTGCTTTTTCAAGTTCAACGGCCTGCTGTTTGTTTTGGCTGCTCTGCTGGCTTGAGGCGTGATGTTGAATAGGACCTCCTGCCTTGCTCAAGGGGGTTTTAATGCTGTGAAGGGAGCTGCTTGTCTAAGCAAGATGGGACATGTTCCCCATGGAGAATTCCTTCCAGCCTATGTAGCCTATGTTGAAGTCATTGAGTTTGTCCAGACCGCGGTATTCGTGCCCCCTTGTACATCGATCGACACAGCCTGAATACAGCCTTTCGGACATTTGCGCGCCTGCCCCGTCGCTGGTGAGGAGCTGGAGAGACGCTCCGCCGTGCCAAGGCTTCGGGGATTCGCTATGGTGAGACACTACAAAGACACAAACGCCGACAGACACAAGGGCAAAACTATGGTCCCCACCAGCAGTATGTGGCAGCCGGCGAGTTTTGCAAGTGGCAACTCGCCTTGAGGTTCCGGCATCCACCCAAGCCTCCGGCAAGTGCTGCTGAGGAGGAGGCGCCCGCTCTTTTGGCCCTTGCAAAGGGTTTGCAAGGACTTGGTTGACCACAGTTTTTTCCCACAAGCCACACCTTTTGCCACAAGTAACGCCCACGAAAAGATCTCAGCAAAGCTCCGACTGGGCTATGTCGGTCAATCGTCTCCTTTGCCAGGAGCCTGCTTCATCTCGATGCTTGGCTGGCAATGGGCAAATGGAGATCCTAGGGCACGTCCTCAATTTGCCCTAAAAGCCCGGCCTAAACCTGGTTGTGCTTTCGCATGTGCCTGGCCATACCACATCTTGAGCCGTTTTGCATGTTTCAGCTTGTTTGTCGTGAGGGTTTGCAGGATTTAGTCCGAGTGTCCAAATTTTAAACAATGCTTCAAGTCGGCAACCAAGTGAGTTGCAATCGTCTACCGCAAGCAATGACTATTTCTTCCCTCGCGATTCTGTTTGGTAGGGGCATTAGGCAAGCCTGAAACTGTCTGACAGAATCCATTCCTGAGCATTTCAGCTGCATCAGGACGCAAGCGTGGGGTCAAAAGTCATGGCGCAGAAAGCCGTGGTCCGGAAAGTGGCGGCCTTGGCGCAAGTCAGCTTGAGATTTTGCCATGCCTCCCAAATCTGGACCGCAGTGGCAAAAGCAGGGGGGAAGATCGTCAGAAGGGAGCCTCGGTTTCTGCATGGCACCGAAGGCGCCTCACCAGTTGCCAGTTTTGGAGACCTGGGGACACGGTGAGCCGCGCAGAATTCTTGCGCCGAGGCGAAGCAGACACGGAGTGCACCTGGTGTGGCCAGACCATCATGGGCGAAGCGGACCATGGAACGTCATGTTCTGTTCTCAGTCGTGGACGAGTTGCCTTTTCTTTGGGCTGGGCGAGTCAGCTGAGGTGGGATGAGGCCCACAAAGTGCAGGTTCTGTGGCCAGCTGCTGGTGGTTGCAACTCGCGACCAACATGAGCGCAACTGTTCCGAGCGGGTGCACGACACTGGGACTAGGTTTTTGGAAGAACTCGAAGAACTCGGAAGTTTGCTTGGGAAGGAATGCCTTTGCGCCAAACATTGGACTTTGGACCTCAGCTAAGGATAGCCGTCCAAGAAACATGCGGGCGAGGTCAACCAGCCTGGACAGCTTGGCGAGCCGTGGAACGCCCAGAGGGCCAAGAACACCAAGAGCGCCAGGCACTCCCAGAGCGCCAGGAGCCCACAGAGCTGGGACAGGGCCCAGCGGGCCCAGCGGGCCCAGCAGGGCTGCGTCCAGCCGGGCGACCTCGAGCATGGACGCTTTGGAGGTGGACCTCCGCACCCGTGCGCAGAGGCATCAGCAGGCGGTGCATGCCGCAACTCAACAAGCGATGATGGAGTCGGATGACGAGGATGGCACCCAACCGTCGAATCCCAAGGTGGTCGCCTTGGAAGCGGAGTTTGAGTTCTTGGTCCAGCTTCTGCCGAGGCCAAGCGGGGGTGCAGCTTTGGCCTTGCTGGGCCAGTTGGAAGCTTCCAGAGGCGGCGGCGCTTTGGATCGGCTCATCGATCTGCAGCGCCGCCACAGCGTGCTGGCCAACATCCTGCGGCTGGCAGATGCTCCACCTGGCCCGCCGCAGCTGAGTCCGCGCCTGCCCACAGGCCGCCCAGCAGAGCAGAGGCCCGTGTCCTCCTCGGCCGAGACGCCAAGGAGGCGCCCAGAGAAGTCCCTGCCTCCACTTGCGCTGGGCGCAGCCGCTTCCTCCCCAGGCACTCCCCGGGTGCACAGCTCGCGCGAGAGCCGCGAGAGCCTTTGCGAGCGGCTGAGCCAGGAGCCTCAGCCCGCGACCGCGCGCCCCGCCAGGTCCACCTCCCTGCGCAGCATGAGCCGAGCGCGCAGCATGAGCCAGCGCAGCTTGCAGAGCGCTCACAGTGAGCGCAGCGTACGGAGTGTCCGGAGCGCCCGCAGCGTCCGCAGCGTCCGGAGCAATAAGAGCACCAAGAGCACTCGGAGCAAGCAAAACACAGCACGGGCACCATCAGTCACTCAGGTTTTGAGGACTAGCCCTGGCCCTGCTGCCGTAGGCTACAGGGAGATGTCAGTGGAGGAGATGAAGGCCGAGATAGAGCAGGAGCGCAGAAAGTACATTCTTGAGCGCATGGATGGCTAGATGTGAGCTGCAGCTTTGGCGCTTGGCGGATTGGCCAGTGTCTTTGCATGAGCACATGTCAGCGTTCGGTTCTTGGCACGGCACAAAACCTCGGGTCACAAGTATTGGCTTTGCGCTATGGGTGCAACACTGTCGCCGTAGAATGCAAGGATGCGAACAACGCATTGTTTACCAGCATGGCTGCCTGCTGAAGACCAGCAGGAGGCCAGCAAGACAGCTGGCGAAGGCTAGCCCAAGAGCGAAAATATCACGACATGCGTTCTGCCGTGTGAAGGCTTGGAGCTTTGGGCTGCGCGCGTCTCCGAAATATGTCATCGCCGCCCCTGTGCTGGAATTGACAGGCAAACAGTGCCTTGCCAAATACAGGTGTTATTCAAATTAGGCAGACTGGCATGAAAGCACCCCCCTCTAGAACATGCCAAGCACCTTCCAAACAAAACTAGAGGACGATTGGCCCGAAAGCATTTTTCCACCGCTCATCCAGCCGCGGAGACACCTTTTTACATCGCTGCGGCGAGCGTGTCTGCGCGCGGCGATGCTCACTGTGTATGGTCACATGAGAGCTCCATCTCATCATCCAACTGCGCCGCGCGATTTCTCACGAAAGTGGTCTGCGCAAGCTGCGTTGTTCCAGGCTGCGCGCAAGTTGCTCTCTGCAAGCTGCTGCACGATGCTGCACGCAAGTGCTCTGTGCAAGTTGCTCTGCGCAAGTGCTCTGAGCAAGTTGCTTTGCGCAAGTGCTCTGCGCCAGTTGCTCCACGCAAGCGCTTTGCGCATGTGCTCTGTGCAAGTTGGTCTGTGCAAGTTGCTCTGCGCCAGTTGCTCCGTGCAAGCGCTTTGCGCATGTGCTCTGTGCAAGTTGCTCTGCGCAATGTGCTCTGAGCAAGTTGCTCTGCGCAAGTGCTCTGCGCCAGTTGCTCCGTGCAAGCGCTTTGCGCATGTGCTCTGTGCAAGTTGGTCTGTGCAAGTTGCTCTGCGCAAGTGCTTTGTGCAATTGCTCTGTGCAAGTTGCTCTGCGCAAGTTGCTCTGCGCAAGTGACTCTGCGCAAGTTGCTCTGCGCAAGTGCTGCCGGAGCTGTGGGAATGTACTTCGCGTACTATTTTTGTACTTAAAAGTTGCGATTTTCCAGCCGGAGCTGCGGGAGTGTGCTCCGCGTACTACGTTTGTACTTAAAAGTTGCGATTTTCCAGCCGGAGCTGCAGGAGCACGCTCCGCGTACTACGTTTGTACTTAAAAGCTGCGATTTTCAAGCCGGAGCTGCCGCGGACCAGGGGGGAATCGAACCCGCGACCACGGGATTGTGAAAGCAGGCGCGCAAACCACGAGACAACTTCCAAAGGCCGTACAACGAGAGCGCTTCGACACGCACAGTCTCCGCAGAGGGTTCGCCGAGACTAAGACAAATTCGCACGGCGCCACAGCGAGAGCGCTTCGACGCGCACGATCTCCGCAGAGGGTCGCGCGCGGACCGCAGAAATCGTTAAAAGTCCCCAGTTTTTGAACCTCGACTCCGTGCGCCGCAGAAATCGTAAAAAGTCCACAGTTTTTGAACCTCGACCACGCGAATCTCCGCAGCGGGTCGCGCGCGGCCCGCAGAAATCGTAAAAAGTCCTCAGTTTTTGAACCTCGACCACCATAAAAAGTCCTCAATTTTTGATTCTCGACCGCGCGAATCTCCGCAGAGGGTTGCGCGCGCACCGCAGAAATCGTAAAAAGTCCACAGTTTTTTGACCTCGACCACGCGAATCTCCGCAGAGGGTCGCAATCCCGAGCGACGATCAAACTCCCGCCCCGGCGCCTTAGAAACCTAAACTAACTTACATAGCTGCTAACGCCGAAGCTCGACGCAAGCTCTACCTAACCTTGGCTCTGTGCCACCTGGCTCTGTGTCACTTGGCTCTATGCAACTTGGCTCTATGTAACTTGGCTCTATGTAACTTGGCTCTATGTAACTTGGCTCTATGTAACTTGGCTCTATGTAACTTGGCTCTATGTAACTTGGCTCTGTGCAACTTGGCTCTGTGCAACTTGGCTCTGTGTAACTTGTCCAAGGACTCCGCACGGAAGAACCCTTCGCGATGCTTTCGGGGAAAAATGCATGCACACGCACACACACAAGCAAGTGAGAGTCAAAATGACGTGAAGAGCTTGACCATAGGCAACCAATGCCTCAAGCCAGCCCATATGCCACCTGAGGCAGGCAAATCATGTCCCAAGCGCAAATGGCTGTACGGGGCCCATGCTTTGTGCCAGTTCGCTTTCTGCAAATTTAATAGGGGTTGATCAAAAGGTCCTTGCAAGGAGTTATGTATTCGGTGACCATTCGTCTTGGCTTAAATCCCTCCGCGAAAGATCGGCGATGGAGTTCGCGAAAGAAACTAATTTTTTCGCGAAAGATTCCGCGTTGGATTCTTGGAGGCATGCCTGTGCACTTACATATGTGCAGACGCCGCTCCCTTATAGATAGGGAGATATGCAGCACCTACACTTGCATTATTGATTCCCTGCCTGTGTTGGGATTGGTGCAAATCAATCACGTTGGCTGGGCTATTTTGGAGCAAGTTTCGCGAAAGATCCGCGAAAGACCGGCGAAAGGCCAGGGAGCTTGTTGCCAGGTTCCGCACATCGCCGGCAAGCGCAAGTGGCAAGGGTGAATGACGGGGACTGCCTGCACTTGACACTACGTACTGCACGCAAGTGAACTGCGGCCACCGTGTTTGCAAGTATAACTGCAGCAGCCACAATGGCTCCAGAGCGCACGCTGCAAGCAAAAGGGCGTGGCGATGGAGTCGCGAAAGATTCGCGAAAGAAGCTTTTTTTCCTCGCGAAGATGGCGTTTTCCGGAAACAGGAATATTGATCAACTGCCTGAAGAATCCCGAAAGCTGGCCTGCGGCCCTGATTCCGATTTGTCCGACGGAGAGGGTGCCAAGGCATGCATGCTTTGGCCGTCCTTCCGCTTGGATATTCCTAGTTTGCAAGCTTCGGCGGGCCACATGCAATACCTAACAGGGTGAAGCAGTGCCAGCTTTCAGTCTGCCCCTTTATCAAGGAAGGAGCCTTCTAAAATGGTGAGAGCCTGGCTGTAGCCATGGCTGTCGCTGCGGGCTACGACCAGAGAGTTGCCGAACTGCCACAGCCCCAGACTGGACAAACGTGCAGCAGGTTGGTGGTGCCAGTTTGCAATGATCGCTGCGCTTCATCTGAGCAAGTAGAATGCTGAGGGGAAGGCAGGTGGAAACAGTTGGAATTGGGACCTAGGGCATGGCCAGTAGGGACGGCCGCTTTCTTTAGTGAGTGATCCCATCGCTTGGCTGGAATCCAGGCAGGGGACAGGTGATGGAGCGATGGAGTGACGAATAAATGACAGTAGGCATTGCACAACGTATTTGTGTTGTGCACGATGGCTTGGAAGCAAGCTGGGAAAGCTTGGATGCAGTAAATACATGTTGGGGTTTGGCACTGCCCGCAAGGCCCATCCCTAAGTCGGCCGGTTTTGCCTTGAAGTTTTTTTTCGCCGGAATTCCACAACTTGTTGGCAGTGCACGCAAGCATGCGCAAGCTCACAGGCAATTGTAGAGGCCAATGCAAAGCGAGGGCTGCGAGGGATGTTGGACTTGAGGGCTTGCCGTGCTTCAACATGTAGTCCTTGGTTTGGGAATGTTAAACCCAAGTCTGGAGCTGTCGTTTAGGCTCCGCATTTGATGAGGGTTTACACGGTTGCTGCTTATTTGGTTGACGGTGCATGATGCAACCACTTTTTGAGGAGATCATGCACTCAACCAGGATGAAAGATGCAGCACTCACAGTTTGGATGAGGTAGCGTAGGAAACTTGACGCGATCTCTTGTCTCCGGTTGTGTCGCTTCGTTCCTGCAATGAGGTCCGGCCGAGTTTCGCAGTTGCAGCAGCAAC